TGCTACAGTAGCAAAATTGATTGATTGAACCATAAATGGACAGAGCAACTACAGAAATGAGGTTTCTTCGACGGACTGCTTGTCTGCCAGGCCATCGCTTCGGAACATCGCATTCTGGCTCGCGACTGTGAACCCCACTTTCTCAGGATCGATAGGTCACAAGAGCGATTGTCTGCTGCATTAGGATTCCAGAGTAGAAATTGGCGAGGTCACTACTTTGACAAAGCGAAATTGAGTCCAGATGATTCGAATAACTGGAGCATGTGGCTTTGTGGCGAACTGGAATCTAGCCACTGGAACTTATCTGATTTGCAGGTGACTTGGACCATTAGGACATTACTGAAGCTGTTGCAACAAAAAAATACCGCTCTGTAAAAATACTCGATGGATGGGGCCTCCACTATGGGGCAACAAAGAAATCCTATCAATTCCATTACGATAATACATTGTAATTCCCATTGGCTGGTTATGACGATAATTTTAATTGCAGAGTGACACGTTTTGCCAATACATCTTTATTCCGTTCGCTTTTGCTGCAGTCATGTAGTCTGTTGAAGACGTAAAATGCGTTCATTACGTATAATGTGCCAGCAACAGTTCTGGTCAATTAGCTTGGTCGTTGTCATCTGTCATCTACAGGTGGTAGAACACGTATTGAGAAAATTGGAAGGAACGTCGTTTCTGACACCTGTCAGCACTTTACTACCGGACCCAATTCTGAGTTATTTGGTAGGTGATTCAAAGCGAAAGTAACGGACACCTATGAAGAAGTATTAGCAGAAGTCTTGCTGGTCGAAATCACGCACAGTGCTTTGAATAGCGACTTATGGATTAGCCTGCAGAAAAGACTTGTAGGATCAAAGTAATTTCGAAACGAGGGAAGAGAATCAAGGGCCATTTTATTGCAGCATGTCGAAAACGACGAATCTTGTTGATCGGAATTGTTATTCATGCGTCATCTGACTGTTGGAGGATTTTGCCAATTCACCGCATTGGGTAGGCGGGTTGTTAGTGTTTTTTCTTCCATGTGACCTTGTACGTTTCTGAGCTTTCGCAAGTTAGTTGAAATTGCCAGAGCCTACAGACTCAGCTGTACCTCGTTTCGAGAACACGTTGTCACCTTCTTTCCACCTAACAGTAGTGGAAGTAGAACTTAGGAGATGACAACAGAAATATAGATGACAGTCCGATATATATATCTCTGATGCTAAAAATTTCATTCGTTCACGTTTGTTTCAGACTTAAGCTATAATCAACGAAGTTGCATGATAAGAGAAGCAATCGGAAGGCCATCGTACAACCTTTTGTATAGATTTTTCGTTTTTATGTACCACTACTAATTCACACCTGTTTTTGTAGAGGTTTCGTGTGCAACGTTGAACTTGTAGTTTCTATGACTTGTTGACTGATGAAGTTAGTAAACTAGCATTTTAAAGGTTAACTCGAACTTTGTTTAGTACGTTATCGTCCGGAAAGTGTCTCGACCCGGAAAACCGGAAGTCATTGGAACTTTAAGTACGGTATAGTTAGTAAAGTAGCGACAGCGTGACTTTGCTGCAAACGTCGCTTTTTCATTATTTCAGGCACACAGGAGAGTCCACTGCTTCAGATTCTCAGGACGTTCTCGTGCTACGATCTGATGCCGCGTCAGAGCAACATGGTCGTCATCGACTGGCAGCTTACGGTACGTTAAGTTTTTTCTGGCCTCCACCTCCCTACCCCCCCCCAATTCAATTATATTTGTTATTGTGCTTAGATCAACAGCGTGCTACTCACAATCCTGAACAATGGCGTATTAGCGTCGTTAGTTTGGGACTCGGAAACGGGAACCGCCATATGCATGATCACCCTCACCGACCTACTTCGGATCATGCTGGACAAAACCGTTGACTACCATCAAGTGCTAAACAGGCCGCTGCGCACTTGGCTGATGGCGAATTCGAAGGATCATCAGAATCTGACTGTTATCTACGCAGAGGACAGGTGAGCCGGATCGTCGTTGATGCCTGCCACGTTTCTGTACTTATCGATTTACAGATTACGATGTTTATATGGCCTTACTTATGCTATATTGCCTTTTTCAGCCTACTGTCTGCAGTGAAGGTGCTCTGCGGCGTTCGACTACACCGAATCCCGGTAATCGATTCAAAATCAGCAAATCCCTTGTACTTGCTGAGCCAAATGAGAATTTTAAAGTTTCTCCATAAGCATGTGAGTATCGCTTTATATTCTGACGTTGGTTTTGCCATTACGGCAATGTTAAATGCCAGCTTGTCATGAAATTGTTCACTGGAGACAGACAAACACTGCGATATACCGATGATAAGTGTGAATGCTCCAAAATCTATCTGAAAAGGCGCAGAGGTTTCCGAAGACGGTGCTGGTGATGATGGCTTCTGCCAACATTTATTTCTGAGCTTTTTCTCGACGATCTTCGCTTCAGCCACATCGTTCAAACTTCTGCTAGTTTGTCTGAATTAAATGGTTTCAGCGAATGAGAATCTTTCAACTAGACACATGATTTTAATTTTGGCCAGAGCTTGAAATCTGTCTTAAATCTGCTAAGTGATTGATTGCATTTTGCGTACAGGTCTGGGCCGAAAGATTACGAAATACCTCTTTACTAAATTCCGAAGACAGCACAGTGACGTGTTCGTAATTCCATTGACACGTTGGACCAGATTATGAATTATTATTCTATATATTATTTACGCATAAGTTATCGACCGTCCAGAGTAATAATCCGTCCATATAGACAAAGTTTAATTCGCTATTCAGTCCATACCGGTGATGCGTTTTTTAGCACGTTTCCACTGTGCTTCAGCCTAAATTAAAGCTACGGTGTAAACTGAAACATGCAGGTGGTGTTGAGGATTAAGTATAGAAGTAGGTTTAATAATAGTGCACTAAACCGTATTGACAAAGTGTTACTGAATTGCAGTCAGTTTCGGACAATCGACATAGGTATGAATGACTATTCTCTACAGTAACATATCCATATCGGTGTCTGAGCACTGCCATAATCATCAAATAAGTTTTAGCCGTTGTCTAGATGAACGATATCTGACATATTACATACTATATGTCAGATTTTTGTCTGATGGGCTGTTGTGGTAAAGGTTATATTTTGCTGTCGTTGGCAGTCTCTTTATGATTGGAAAATATTCAAAACGATTCGTATGCCGAGCTTGCACACAGGGTTGTTCTTATTGTCTTAATGTAAAAGAAGATTCACATTGCCTACCTCGCGAACAGGGAATGAAACTGTGTGAGATTCACCAAACAGTGCAATGTTTAAATATCAGAGAGGCATGTCCTGCCGAAATCACCCTCTTGGCAGGTAGGAGTACGGGCCAGGACAATACGACTGGAAACCTGGTCTGGGAGGCGTAATAAGTTACGCTATATTGTTGTTATCATTATCATTAGCGTTTGCCGAACAACTGCGGGATGAACGCTTCGCCATAGACGTCAGCCTTATGCGTTTCCATTCATCTTGATCCGGAGAACTTCTTCAGCTCATCCTGTCATCGTCTTCGTATGGGTCGTTTACCCTCTTTTGGAACCAGTCTGTTTCTCTGATCCAGCGTTCGTAGATTCTACTTGCAACGTGCCTGCTCATTGCCACTTTAACTTCTTCACTCGGGTATTGACATAGTAGACTCTTGTTTGTGTCCATACCCACTCATTCATTGTTCTCTCTTGTCGTGTCATTCCCAAAATACATTTTTCCTTGCGTAGTCTGCAGTTGAGGAATGGCTTTCAGGCTTCGGTTTGCGTTTCGCACCCATAGTTTATCACTGAAAGCATATGCTGACTTAATACTTTCCGTTCCCTGCAGGAGAGCAGGTTCCCGAGTAGAAAGGCGTGGTCCATGACATTTTTATTATTGTATGGTCACAACTGATTGAAAAGTCACAACTGCATTGGTTTGCGCACGTCTTGCCAATGCTTCAAGAAAGGAAGACGAAACAGCTATTGCATAGCAACCCGACCGGCTGAGGAGCATGGAGACGGTCAAGTGTATGGAAGGAGTTTGTTATGAATTCCGGTTGTCTTCTGCCGAAGCTCGGATGCTGGTCCAGGATCTGGAACGTTATAAGCACTATCTGACTTGTCTGCCTCTACGACCCGAAAGGAGTAACGTTCATCGAATCTGATTAGCTTATTTACTGTATTACCGGGTTACTGTACCGTACTGTCAAGAGTTTTCACAATAATATCCACCTTTTCAAATTGCTCCTGCTGGAATGTTTGCCATTTATTGCGGACGCATTTCGCTGCAATCAAAGTGGCATTTTCAGAACAATATTGTCCCTTCCTAAGCTATTCATCACGGACGGATTTGGTGTCGCAGACGTTTTGTAATCCAACACTAGTCCTTACACATGTGTCAACGAAATTTGATTCGGATTCATGATCGCATCGAAAGGCCAATAACTTGTTGCGCATCTGTGCTCAGAACTGAACTGCATAGCGGTAACATGAATTCTTCGAATATATCTGTTTCATCGCAAATGACTTTCTCTCTGGATCTCGTTGTTTCTGGTTACGAAATGTAGCGAAGGTTGCAGTTAGTGTTTACCGAAAGCGGTTATTAATCCATATAAATGGTGAGGATGCAGCTAGCTGTGCATTAAGAATGAGATGAATGTCGTATAAAGACGTGTGTTAACTGGCAGCAATCAAGTGAAGCAGATTGGTACAAAAATGGCGGACAGATTTGCGAAATTACTTTATAATACCTGTTTTAAATTCGAACGGCTTTGGTTGTTTCTTGCTGTGAGAAGGAACGCTTATGATACTGTTGTGTCAGTATAGTTCAAACTAGCTATCTGAAACGTAGTCTGCTTTTGTGTCAGCACGGTTGTTGGGATAACGTATGCATAAAATGCGCGGTTTAGGGAACAAATTGTAAAGTGAATATTGGCGTAATCAGTTCCGGTAAATTTATTGTGTCGTTGGTTGAAATATATTAATATAACATGTATTAATGGACTCGCGCTTTTCTTGTGAATACATTATTAACACAACAGGGCAACTACCTACTATTTTTTAATATGAAATGCATGAAGATGCTGACAGATGAAATATCATTAGTGAATTACCGTAGTTAGTATAACATTGCATTTTTCAGCTAGGTTTCGGTATGTCACGAAGGAGAAACGCATATTCATGCACAATGACTTGTTGCTGCTAAAAAATACGATGGAGCCATGATTAAATGTTTTCCTAAACATCTACTAGCTAGGAACGATGCCAGACTGAATGATATCTGTTTCGATGGCGTTGTGCGCATATTAACTGATTCCTGAATTCTGAACTCATTTATATTCGACAGCATTTGAGGACATCTGTACCTAATACATCACGAGTACATCTAATACATCACGAGTACACCTAATACATCACGAGTACATCTTTCAAATCTTTGTTTGTTTAAAAGGCAGGGCCTTGATGAATTTGAAAGCAAGGTAACGGTTGCATGACGCTGCTTCGCTAGACTTGATGAAGGTACGGACTCTTAGCGTAACAAATAACTTTTAAACTTCATAGAGATACCGTGCCTTTGATGAATTTGAAGATTATACATCTCTTGATTCCATTGTTTGTTGAACGAAAAGCGAAAAATTTGATGTACAGAATCATTAATGATCCTCGTTTCTCGATCTGTGTTTTTAGGCAGTGGCGTAAAAGGATAGGGAAATTTCCGATAATCTTTTTTCTTTCTTTACGCTGTGCATTTTCGCACGTTTCAATCCGATATCGTTATTTTTAATGTAATTTTCTGTACTCACCAACGGGTTTCGATGCCGCTCGCCAATGTCGTCTTCAGCGTTATATTACGCAATTAAAAGCTCGCTAATCTGTGAAATGAACTCGAAGGACGATAGCGTCTGTTCCATTGCTTATTCTGGGCATGCTTGCTAATGACATTCCAACTGTCACTCAAGCCATACGAGTTCGATCGTTCGTGACACACTTGGCTTTTGTTACCCATGATATGCAACGATTTTTTGGTTAACAGCCCAGTGTTCATTCTCTCCTTATCAACGGAAGTGACATTGGTAAGAGAAAAGATTGTCCAACGTCCCGTTTTCTCATTCCTCAGCTGTTTTCAGGGTATGGCTTCGCGCTGTGGATCTTGTCACAGTTGCGACACTATCTTGTGGACCAAGTTCATCTCGTTCATTATTATCTTTGATTGAGAGAGTTTCTGGTATCTGCGATCCCAGTGAGCAAACAGGCCTTTGGAACACCGTAATTTTCCACTTACCGTTTGATTTTATATGAGAGCCTAGGAATAAAGGATCGACTGCACTGAGTGGGGTTTTTCTTATTGTTGGAACGTTTTAACGTTTTCGTAATTTCTTTACTGTAGCTGTTTTTAGATCAGAAATTTTTTAGGTGTTTAATTTCTGCTTAGTAAGCAGAATCGTTTGTAAAAGTACCAAAATCTCGCGTTCTTTGCAATATGGCTAAAAATTAACTTAGGAGCACCAGACTTTTTTGTTATTGTTTACTTGTAGCTCATTAATTCTTACAAGAAACAGTGTGAAGAAGAATAAAAGAATGAAAGGAGTTTGTTTTTGCAGTTTATCGAAAGCCTCAACATCGTAACAGGTAATTACTTCAAAGTCTTGTGCCTCTACAGTAATTTTTAGCAGTGTGGTGAAGAACAGGCTTTTTAGACCTTTTCCGATTTACACAGCTGATTCTGCTCATCAGTAATTGAACTTCTACAAAAGTACTTATATAAAAGTGGCTGTAGTGAAGTAATTATAAAGAGAAGTTTTTGAAGTCCCTTCTTAGCCGCTACCAACAATGAAACATAACCCCACCGAAGTCATTCTTTTTTTCCCACGCTCTAAAAAATTCAAGAGGAAGTTGAAGAATGAAAGGTGTCGAATCTACAATGAAATCGACATTTCTCTGGGATCGCAAATTTACCGAAAGTTTTATCAGCGTGCGGAACTAAGTGGATGAACGTCACGTATAAGATCAGTGGTAATGATTGTTACAAGATCTACTTATGAAACACTATAGGATTGCAGAACTCTGAATCTAGTAATTCTGGTGAATGAATAAACGGGGCATTCTGGTATCATCTCCTATACTTCTTCCTTGGAACACTTATTGTGTGCGACAAATGTCATTTCCGTCCATAAGACGTGAGCAAACGTCGCACTATTGATCAAAGAATCGTTGCATATGTTGGATAGCAAGAGTTGACTGTGTGACGAATGTATGAACTCGCGTGGTTTCAGTGACTGTTGGAATGTCATTGGTCAGCTTGTCCGAAACGAGTAATGCAACAAACGCTATTGTGAAAACTCAAATCTCACTGCTTATTTTATGTTGTTTTATTTTGTTTAGTACAACTCTGATGAAGACGCTGGTTTACGGCGTCGAAGCGCGTCGGTGAGTAACGGAAGTTAAATAATAATTTTTAAATTTTTGCTTTAAACCAGGGATCGAAAACGATTATCAAACGACTGTCCAAGCGGGCAGCGAATCGATGCCTCCTTCCACGTCTGTTTATTTATGGATAATGTCACGTTTCGATCGAATTGATGACCGACGCCGATTCGGTCAAAACGTTGGAATATCAGTAAATAAAGAAATAAATAAATAAACAAATAAATAATTTTTTCTTGTTTTTTATGCTGACAAAGAAAATCTGAAGACCAATTATCTTTATGGTATGCCCCCGTTGTAAATCTATATTAAGATGTTTCGTGAAAGTTCATGAGGAGTACCGACTCTTGTAATGTCGTTGATGACAAACAAGGTCTTGCTTTAGACAATAACATGACGCGATGTGCATTTCTGCGGTGCTTGTACTCGAAACCATGCAGTCACGGTAGGCGTCTGAAATAGTGGGTATAACCAAGAGTAAGATGTATGAAGGGTCTTGCTTTATAACGGTACCAGTAGTTTTATTCAGTATCGTCCTGATTATTCTTTTAAAGCATGAGCAACAGGGATCACATTCAGCGAGGGTCTCTGCGGCGAACTTAATGAACCCGTGACCACCTTTTATACTTTGATTGTCGTTAAGCAGTTGATACCCTGTATTTCGTTCTTTGTTTTTGTTTTTATTTGTTTCGATAATCATATTAGTTTTGTCTAGTTGTCTGCTCTCCCGGTACCACCGGAAATGTACAAACCTCTGGACAGTTTGCCTTTCGGCGTATGGAGCAACATTCAGTGCACGACGTTGAAGGAAACGGTCAGTGCGGCGCTGAGTCAGATCTTCAGCAGCAATATCTCTAGCCTTCCGGTGGTCATGCAGCAAGAATCTCAGTCCTCAGTGCAGAATATTCTGACCAAAGTAGATGTGGTCAACTATTTGGCCGACTTCGGTTGGAAGAATCTGGACGAGATCACCGTCGAGGAGGTGTGTCGTTCGCGAAAACAGGTTACATCATCGTCTTCCTTCTCATTGAACCCACTCTTATGTATGCGTTTGTTTTCAGTCGGTGGAAGGTTTGGTGATGTGCAACCGCTGTACGCCGTTGTTGTTCGCACTTGAACTGCTAGTACGCAATAGCGCCCATCGTCTGATAGTGGTCGACTCGTGCATAACGCTGTGTGGAGTGATCTCGGTCGCCGACCTACTGTCAGCTATCATTGCCTGATAGGAAATGGTGTGGCAGTGTCATTCGGTTCAAGCGATTACTCCCGTCTCTGCGCGCGTATGTTGGGTCCCGGTGCTGAAAAGTGCTCACAGTTTACTGTCGACGTTCCACGGTGTTTTCGTTTCTTCCGCGGCACGTTTTGTGCAGTGTTCAACGCTTACCATGTTTCTGCACTACTTTGTACATTTTTGCGCGTTCTCACGGTGAACTTCAGAAACAGAAACATTTTATTTTTATTAAAAAAACCATTTTAAATCTCAATTCC